TTCGTGTTGATATTAGCGATCAAGGACGATCAACTGTAAATGTATGTTTTTTCAACGGCAATTTTATCAACAACAAATCAACGTTTACTCCTAAACACTAAACAGTAGTTGAATTACTGTTGACAAAAAATCAAATCTATTGAATGTTAAGCGCGCTATTTACAACAGTAATTTGCTGAGCGAACAGCATGCTCTGCAGGCACTTTTTTTAATGATTGTTTAAATAAAATAAAGTTGTTTGTGGTAATAAAATGGTAAATTTGTATTTATAGTACGGTAGGAAATGAATTTTAACTTGAAAAAATATTATCTTGATGAAATTAGGATATTCTTTAAAGTAACTGAGGATAATTAAACATGAAAATATTTTTTTCACAATTTACCATGCAAAAGTCTCAACTTAGCAGCAATTTGATTAGGCTTATAATAATAATACCATTAATAAAAGTAAATTAGTAATGTTTTTAGCTAAAATTATTTGCCTTATAAATTCTGACTGCAAATTTAACTCATATAGTACCAAATGCAATTTAAATGGTTTTTCCTGTTTATGAATATTAATTTTTTTTTGATAAGAAAAAGATAATGATGCCAAAACGTGATAAAAGTCTCTACATGAGAAAGTTTATGAAAGAAAAACGAGACACTGAATAAAGAATAAAGTATCTTCTTGAAGAGTGCAATATTGCTGGTAGAGAGAATTGTGAGCATGTAGATTCAGGTGTTCAAGTGATTTCTGGAGTTTCTGAAGGTGTGCTCAGTGATGTAGTTTATGAAGATGTGCAAAGCAATACATCGATGCTTTCCATTACTTCACCTGAAAATGAAGTTGGTCTAAATAAAGCTGAATCAAGTTATGGTGATGTTGAAGACATTGCAGCTGCAAATAGTTTATTCAGTAGTATTGATACTCAATACTTTAACGAAAGATTTTTTATACGAGTGGTCATTAAATTACTGTATAAAAGATGATGCTTTAAATGCACTTTTAAAACACTTTAACAAATTTGCTCCATCTATACCAAAATGCAGGCAGACATTTCAAAAATCTCTTCAAAAAATTGATGTTTTATATGTTAGTGGAGGTGATTATGAATATCTTGGAGTTAAGAGTGCAATTGATTATTTTTTACATGTTAACATCTGGAAATAAGGAAAAGCTTGATATAATTGTTAGTATTGATGGTGCACCTATATACAATAGTAAAAAGGCTTCTATTTGGCCTATAGTAATAACAATTAACAGAAAAGAACCATATGCTATTGCAATATGGTATGGTCAAGGAAAACCAAGTAATTTGGATAACTACTTTAAAGATTTTGTTTATGAAATGAAAGAACTCCAAACTAATGAATATGAAAAGCTGCAGGTGAATATTAAAGCTATTGTTTGCGATGTGCCTGCAAGGGCATTTGTTAAATGCATTATAGGGCATAGTGGCTACCATAGCTGTGAAAGATGTGTGGCAGTTGGCACACAAATTCAGGGCGTAAGAATATTGGAAACAAATGCTTCTCTTCGTACCGATGTAGCCTTTAAAAATAATTTATATAAAGAAAAAGGTCATCAACTTAAAAGTCTCTCTCCACTTGCCCAATTAAATATTCCAATGGTAACTGGATTCCCACTGGACTATATGCACCTTATATGTCTTGGGGTAGTAAAAAAACTTTTATTTAACTGGTTTAAAGGTCCCAGATTTATTAGAATAAGTCAATCTGTTAAAGATAGTATTTCAAATGAGCTCATAACCTTGCGAAGTTATACACCATCCAATTTTCAACGCAGACCACACTCTTTAAATGAACTTGAGAAGTGGAAAGCAACATAATTTCGGTTCTTCCTACTTTATGCTGGACCTGTTGTTTTAAAAGGAAAAATAAATAAAACTAACTATGAGTTGTTTAATTCTTTTTCAATTGCTATGCACATACTGCTTTCCGATAAAATGGTAAAAAATGAGTTGTTTTTGGCATACGCTAAACAATTACTTATATGGTTTGTTAGAGAAGTACAAATTTTGTATGGGGAGACCTTTGTGACATATAATGTTCATAGCATGATTCATTTAGCTGATGATTGTATTAACTTTGGGGAGAGTCTTGATCATCTGTCAGCTTTTTCTTTTAAAAACTTTTTGGGTCGAATTAAAAGAATGATGCAAAAGTCACATCAGACTATTGCCCAAATAGTGAAACAACTAGATGAGAGAAAAAAATTAGAGATTTTTCTTAAAGAATGAAACGGTAAAGAAATCCCTGTCAGAGTTGTGAAAAATAAAATCACATCAATTCTGCGAGACAGAGTCTATTTTATTCAAGACAAAGGGTTTATTTTAGTAGAAGAGGTTTTGGTAGATCTTGTAAAATGCAAGGCATTAAATCCTCATTCAGTTAGAATTTTTTTTCCTGATTATTTTGAAACATCAAACTTAGATGTTGGTTATGTAAATTCATTAGCTAACATGAAAACAATATTTCTAAAAAAAAATGAACTTTTGACCAAAGGATTGATAATACCTGTTCAAAAAGGTGGTTATGCTTTTTTTCGGCTGAGACATTGTGATATTGCCTATGATGACTGAATTTTAAATTAAAAACAGATTTTTTGCTATACTTCCAGACCACATTTTGTTACGAATGTCTGGGCATGTGTCTTTTTTTTTTAATGTTCTATTATAAATTGCTATAAATGTGACATATTTACTTTATTGAATAATTTTTATGTGAGTTTAATACATTATAGTTTATAAATAGTTTTTATGTATTTTTTAAAGAAATATTGAATACTTAAGCTTGTTTTATGTCTTAATAATGCATTGTGCATTGATGTTAACTAATGTAATTTTTTTTTTTGTAATTTGCATTAATTTTTTGATATATAAGATTGTTTTGATATATAAGATTAGACTTAAATAGTACCTGACTATTGAAATGTCATTTGCCATTGTCCAATTTTTAAATTGAAGTATTAAATGAAGTGGAAGTAGTAGCTAAAAGTTGGATGAATAATGGTAAATGCTTCTGGCTGCCATTTAAAAATTCCTCTGCAATTCGCAAGGTTGTCACTAGCTTGCAGGCACCAACATCTGATTGGCAGATATACCCTGCTAGAATTCTATACACTACAGGTTTTCATATTACTATAATAAAATGTAATATAATTGAATGAGACACAATTATTGCAGTTATGTTTTCAGTTGATATTGATAAATGATATTATGTATATTGATTTTTATGAAGAAGCTCGGTCGCGCTTGGAAAAAGCAGCAGATACGTCAAATATTGAGACAGACACTGAAGAGAAAAGAGAAACAAAGCAGAAGTAACTCTTACTAAAATTGTTTTTTTAATAATTTTTTTTTTGCAATAAATACTTGCACAAATAGTGCACTTTTTTTTTAAAGAAAAGTTTATATTAAAGGAGAAAGATGACGATGACATTCTGTGAAAGTGATGAAGATATTGTAGTTAGTGATGAAGAACAACACGGAAGATATTATTTGAAGAATTCAAATGGCCAAAGTATATCTAATGTGATTCTAAATATAGCAGGTTAACAATTTTTGTAAAATTAAAATAATGCTTTGTTAAGATAAACATGTTTATTTTTTTACTGAATTGTAGAAGTTCTAAAATCATTAACAACTCCACACATAAAAAGTGAAGTAGCAAGCTTTTCAGTTGCTGTAAACAACATTGACTTTGCAAAAGAAACCAATGTTTTCGAAGAAAAATCAAAGTTGTTTTCAAATATATTGGTAAAAAAAAATTAAATTATTAAAATAAATAGTATTAAAAATAATAATAGAAATCATATATGTTTGTTGAGAAGTTGCTGGGAATAAGAATTTAAGTTAAACAACAAAAACTCTGAATAACTGCACGAGTCTGTTAAAGAATGCTCACAAATCTAATTTATATTTTTAAGAAAATTAAATACAATTCTTTAAACATATAGTGATTTCAATATATATATATATATATATATATATATATATATATATATATATATATATATATATATATATATATATATATATATATAAATATATATATATATATATATATATATATATATATATATATATATATATATATATATATATATATATATATATATATATTATATTATATATATATATATATATATATATATATATATATATATATATATATATATATATATATATATATATATATATATATATATATATATATATATATATATTATATAATATATGTGTGTGTATTCTATTTAGATAGAAAATGGCTCTAAAACTTGTATATTTATATTTTTAAGAATATACATTTCTTAAATAAATAAAACTTGTATATTTATATTTTTAAGAATATTTTTAAGAATATTTTTAAGAATATACATTTCAATGTGTTTAGGTTCTATTTATTTTTTCCATTTAGGTAAGATTTCATGGTCAATTTTTTACAAAATATTTTTATTTTTAACATTTCATTACATATATTTTTTTAAGATTTTCAAAAAGATGTGTTGTCCTGGATGGCAAAGATAGATAAGAAAATATTATATATATATATATATATATATATATATATATATATATATATATATATATATATATATATATATATATATATATATATATATAAATATATATATATTATATAATATATGTGTGTGTATTCTATTTAGATAGAAAATGGCTCTAAAACTTGTATATTTATATTTTTAAGAATATACATTTCTTAAATAAATAAAACTTGTATATTTATATTTTTAAGAATATTTTTAAGAATATTTTTAAGAATATACATTTCAATGTGTTTAGGTTCTATTTATTTTTTCCATTTAGGTAAGATTTCATGGTCAATTTTTTACAAAATATTTTTATTTTTAACATTTCATTACATATATTTTTTTAAGATTTTCAAAAAGATGTGTTGTCCTGGATGGCAAAGATAGATAAGAAAATACTACTGTTTTTTATTTAACATCAAGTATTACATAGGGCTCCCACAAATCTTCAAAGTTTTGAATAGAATCAGAAACTTGACTTAACTCAGCGACTTAAAAAAAATCATGTGTTTAAATCAAGAGAATTTCATACATAAAGAGTAAACAAAATCAGGGTGGCCAGCAAGCTGGAAGCCTGGAAAAAAAGTTAGAAAAAAGTTAGTTAAGGACAAATTTATGCGAGTTTTATTGCTGCTTTTTTTGTTAATTCACACGTTAAACTTTTGGATTATAATACATGTATAACTTTGAGTTTTTTATAGCCACAAAAAGTCTAGGAAAATGAACATGAAAATTTTCTGACCACCCTGATTCTGTCAAATATCAGCGTAAGATATAATATTTTTTTATGACAATGATTGATTACTATACTGGACTAATTTAGAAAAATAATGGAGAGGAAGCCGTAAATAGAACTTTAAGACTCTAATCTAATACGGTGACATATTTAAAAAAACAAAATTAGTTTAAAAAATAATTGTTTTTTAAGGATTTAAGACTGGATTGAATTTGCAGTCATATAGTATAATTTGATATTCTATTCAATGTTTAATTTTTGGATTTAGATGTGCTTTTGTTGTAAATGGTAAAAAAACAAGTTTTTCTTACATTTGTAGGTGGATAAGTTATTAATACAGCAATCTACATCAACAGCAAGCGCTAGTATATCATCTACAGAGTCCATTTTTGAAAGATGCTTAACAAAATCTGATGTGAATTTACTTGAAGAAAAAGTCAAGGCTAGCAATGTTTTCAAGGGTAGAGTGGTGAGTTGCTATATATTACAACACAATTGTTATGAAATAAAAGTTAACAATCTCCATTTTAATGCTATATTATTATTTGGTATTAAACATATGGGTTCATTTGCAAATAACGTCAAGCAACACAACTTTTTAGACCCTCTCCCTCTTTTGTTACAAATTGTCAAACCCCTTCTCCTTGTCACATCACTTCAATTTGTGTGTGTTTTTGTTAAATAATTATTTTTAAATCAATGCTTGCATCAAACATCATTACATTTTAAATATACAATTAGCTGTGTATTTTAAAAATTAGCAAAATAAGTATATAATTGTGTTTTATTCAGTTTTTAAAATTGGCTGCGACGTCACAAATTATTTGCCCCCTCTTCCCGTTTGAATTAAAATAAAAGGACTGTCCTCCCAAAATGTTTGACGTAGTTTGCGAACTCCTAAATACTATCATTTTCGATACTAGATGAATTCCCTTAGCCGTTGTGGAGGTAATACTCCATATAAATCGGCTTTTGTTATTGGAAGGCTGTAATGAGCGAGGACGCTGCAGCCTGTTTCAATGTCTCTGGCGGTTCTTTGAAAATAAATTTTAAAACATACACCTTGTATCATATGATAATAGGTAAAAAAGGTTTTATACATTTTTTCAGATTATTTTTTTGTACAGGATTTATACTTTGTTTATCTCAGTGAGTCATTTATTTATGTAACTATTTTCAATAATTTCTGAAGTTCGATTTTTTTATCAAATTTGATTTGCATTTTTGATTTAGATGCGATTACACGACAGCATCATGATGCAAAAATTAGCGAATGTCATTCAGCCATTTCAGAATTTCTAAGTCAATCCGGTACACGGCTCAACCGAAAAGTTTTGAAAATGAGCAACGCTGCAAATACTGAATAAATTGTTTAAATGTGTAAATGTAAATTTGTTTGTTAAAGTCAATAAAAAACTTTCCTACTAAAGCAACGCCTACTTTCTTTCATTATTATATTTTCAATACAGTTTTTGGTAAATCTTATATTTACAACATGTTAATAAAATATACATGTTACTAAAGTATATACAAAATATATTGTGTATACGTATAAAATAATATGTATATGAATCTACGTATACAATACATATATACAAACTATATTATACGCAGTATTTATATACATATTGCATAATATGTTGATATATATTTTAATCTATATGTATATATTAAAACGGTTTCGATATCGCTCTCGCGGTATCAAAAGCTTTTTAAAAAATCATGGTTAAATCGCCATAATAGATGTTTGTTGAATAAAAGTTGAAAAAGCAACATTTTATAAACGTTTTTTGTAAACACCGCATCAACATTGATGAATAACATTTTG